CAAATCAAGTTTATTTATATAGCATGTTTAAAACAACCAGAGTTGACCAAAGTGCTGTACAAGATAAAGTGTACAAAACACCAACAGGAAATAAGGACATTGAAATTGTAGTAAAAAGGCATATTAACACCAATAAATGACATATATGGCAATATCAATGATGTGCATGAATGTAAAAAATGAGACGGAATAAAATTGGTAAGAGCAATGTCAAACAAAAGATTATAAAATACTAAAACTAACTAAGAGCACCAATTAAAGCCTCAGCAACGGGAGCTACTGTTGGTTTTTGTACCACTGTGACAACCAAATAAAGATAAATAAGTTCTCATTGAGAACTTTCTTTGGAGACTTTCTGGGCACATCCAACCCTGGGGTAGCTGGAGAGATTATATACTCATCTGGCGTATAAATGCTTCAGGATCCAGCAGGAGGAGCTGGAAAATGGTGCTGGGAAGACATACGCCTGGACTACCTTGCTTAGCCTGCAGCCACATAACTTTCATACTTTATAATGAATCGCAGCTATGCAAAGTTATCAGGACACCCTGTCAACTTAGCATCAGGACACTCACTTTAAACGGATAAATAACGTACTTTACTTACTTTTGGACAATGCATCATAAGCTAGAGAAATGTCCTTTGGAGTAACAATCTGAACAACAACACCTACAGCGGTAGCAGTGTTTCTATTGATAGTGGTTGTGGCAACGGCAGTAGTATCAGAGATTTAATTATTATTATTCAATTAAGTATGAGCAGTATTGTCTTTGTTCATTACTTTTCCCTCAGACTTCTCTGTTTCCTGTGATTATCACTGTCGTTTTGGTTATTATCAGTACTTATTACTATCTCTTCATCAGCTTTCTGCAGACCTCCTTGCATTTTCCTTGTGTCCTCTGAGGGGAAATTAAAAAAGACAGAGGCTCTCTGCCTGTTTGAAGGCTGTGAACGAGGCCACGGCTTCGCTTGCCCTGCTGCTTTACAATGTCAACTACATCTGAATACAAAGCAGCTGCAGGAGGGATTTCTGTTACCGACATTTTCTGCTCCACTCAGACAGAAAAAAAACCAGAGAAATGAGTCAATGTTACAGTACAGCCTGAGGCCATTTCACCTCTAATTTACACAAAGAAAGAAAGAACATCTGAAACTGGCTTAATTGATTCATGGAGCCCATTTAGTTCTGTGAGCACTTTGAAGGAGATGAAACTCAACAATTTAATGAACGCAGAAGACTGGTTCAGCTGTTTTGTTAGGAGCAGGTGGAAAGTGGACTCCAGCTATTATTAAACAATGTTGGTCTGATGTCAGCCATTTATAGAAATATAAATCTTAGTGGACGCAGGTGAATGGATTTCACTTTGCTCTAATACTTGAATAAATCCAGTTGGCCTGATTTTAATTCAGGCAAAAGAAAAGGTTGGATTTTACATTCATCAGTTAAAGATATTGAGAAGATAGAGGCACTACTAGTAGCACTAGTCTTCACATCAGTTACAATAGTAGTAACAGCAATAATATGTGCAGGAATAGTATTTGTATCTGTAGTATGTGTAACAGTAGCAGTGGTAGCAATAGCACTAGTAGCAGCCGTGAGAGCAGAAGCATTGATTGATTTTATAGCAGCAGTAATAAGAGAAGGAACAGCAGCACTAATAACAGTAGCAGCAGCAGAAATAGAGATATTAGCAGCAGTAATAAGGAGCAGCAGCAGTAGTTATAACAGTAGTAGTAGCATCAATATAGGTCTTAACAGCAGTAATAACAGTAATGGTAGCAGTGTTGTAATTATAGCAGTAAATGCTGCAGTGATATATTTTTTTACTGTGATATCATTAACAGTGTTACTAACAGTCTAATTAAAAAAATCCAAGCAAGGTTTTAGCAGTCATTGATGTTGTTGTGGTTGAGAAGGAGTATTTCCCTTCCCGTAGAGACTACAGGTGGTGGTGGTGGTGTCATCCTCCTTCATGGATGGTTTGCCTCTTTGTGTCTCTGTGGGAGCTGTTCCAACATGAATTTAACTTCTGCATCGTTTCCATGGAGACCTCACATCCAACTGTGACCTGTCAAAGTAGCTAATTAGTTAATGAAGCGCACGGTGACGCCCGACCGGAGAGAGAGAGAGAGAGAGAGAAAGAGAGAGAGAGAAAGAGAGAGTATGGAGGAATTTGGCCGACACACACATTTTTTCAATTTGTCCCTTTCTTTTTCTCTCCTTCCATCCTTCAGCGTCTCCTCTCCCTCCTCCCGCTCAGTAATCAGTTCTGCTGTAATCAATTAGCAGGATGAGGAGCAGCAGAGGGAACAGGTGCAGCTAAATGTTAATGAATTCCTCTGCGGCCGTCGTCACAGTAACACTGGCTGAATATTTAAACTGCTCATTGGCCCGATGACTTACACCACAGCTGATGGAGGGATACACACACCATCCCTCTGAGTCTGTGTGTGTGTGTGCTAATATGACACCAACAACAGATGTGTGAATGTGTGTGATACAATCTGTACATGTGTAAGTGGCCGTCCGGCACTGAGCTGTGTGTGTTTTGTATAAAATGACAATCCACTTCAATTCACGCTCTTACTGGAAATTTCACCACGGCAACAGCAAATACAGGTGTCTGATATCACACCTACTGTGACACACACACACACAGACGGATATGTTTACATTCAGTGGTTCTCACCAGCAGTGTGAATCCTTGAGGTCTAATAAATGCGTTTTCATCCTCATAAAACTTAAAGCTGATTTTTAGACAAATTTGAAACCTTTTTGAAACAATGAGTTGACGTTCATGCTTTCTAGGTGCCTTCCTCTTCTTTGCCCTTGTTGGCACATTGCTACATTCCTTGGTGCATTACTGTAATAGAATAATGTGAAACCATTGTCAAGAATATATATCACATGCTAGCATGCGTGGGCGTCGTAGATACATATATGACATACACTAACTAACCAGTCTTAAAGCAACACAACGGCTCCATGCTATTATTAATAGCGGTCAAAAACAACATTTTTTGGGCTCATAGAATTATTCTCTCTCTGACTAAGACATCTGGCTAAGCTGCTACGGAGCACAAATATGGCTCTAATATACAGTAGAAATTAGACTGACTAACATTACTTTAATCAGATTCTTTTATCAGATAGACTACCAAATCTTTTCTGTAGGAAATCCCCAAAAATACCCTCCAACCTCAGTGGTTATGATTAAGTGCAATAAAGTTGTATTTTTCATTACTGAGCCTAAGTCCCGCCCCTTTTTGCTCTGTGCTCCAATGACAGTTGAGGTAGCGTTGGTCAGAACCTCGGTCAACTATCTCCTTTCCTGTACTGTAGTTAGATATGCTATATGCTAGGCTAATCTATGTTGAAAGATAGAGAGACATTTATAGTCACATATCTAATGTTAGCAACAGGCTAGCATACTAGCCAGATCATCTACATCAATTGTTAGCTAGCTAGTTACATCTGCTAAAAAAAAGCTAAAAGCCTTGATTACATAAATTGTTAGGTTGCTAGCAAACGTTTTGTTAACATTAGCTAACTTAAGATGTGACTATATATATTTGGCTTTTATCTTTTAACCATCTTCAAAATGTGGTCTTAAAAATGTCTTTTCAACATAGACGAGCAGAGAGAGAGAGAGAGAGAATGAATGGTCAATTATTAGCATTAGCAGCCGCAGTAGAAGTAGCCTAGTAGAGAAGAACATACGCAGCTCGACAAAGAAAATGTATGATGAGACAAAAAAGAAAAAGAGGTAGAGATGGGGAGGTTCCATTAGAGAGAGATGAATCAAATCTTCATATCCCTTTTTAATTCATTAATCTTAATTTATTAATTTTGAGCCCACCTAACACACACACACACACACACACACACACACACACGCACACACACAGGGTCATACTGAGTATATCAGCAGAATGGTTGATGGCAGGTGCCTCACAGAGCAGAGCACACTGGGGGCCGAGTAAACATCTGGTGTGTGTGTGTGTGTGTGTGTGTGTGTGTGTGTGTCAGAGGTGGGTTGTTAACATGCAAATAAAGCAATTAAAATTCCTGCATCACACACTCAAACACACACACCCACTTGTACATGTATAGAATATATAGGTGTACACACAAACACGCAGTGAAATTCAAGCTGCCGCAGACACACACAGACAGCAGCCTGCCTTCACACTCATCTGAACAGAACAGAAACACAACAGAAACACTCTGCCGACTGCTGGTCAGATTTACAGACAGCTTTCACACCTCGCTGTGATTGAAACAGAGACATGCTCAAACAAAACACTGCATTCATCTCTTGTGTTAAAGGTTGTTGTCTTACCATTTAATAACTGCCTTTCTGTCTATGTTTTTATAGAGAGCTTTGAAAAAACTGTTTATAATTTGAAATCCATAGAGATCATACGCACGGTCATGGTATCATTGTAAAGATAATATTCTGTTTCATTTGGTTTGTTTTTAAGGATATATTACAGTTAAATTGGTGAGGTTCAAGCAAGAAATAATAAATTATTTCTTGCTTTTTTTGTATCTTTTTAATTTTATATCTTAAATGAAGTCATAATAGACTGTAATGACTTGAGAGCGCAGTACCCAGCATCCCTAGCAGATGGCCACGGCGCATTACACAACTGATTCAAAGCAACCTAAAAATATTTCCAAAAGCTCTCCAGAAGTTACCACATTACTGAAAATATTCATAAATAGTCCATATAAAATGACAACAAAGAAACACAAAACACTACAAAAACACCCAAAATGCCCACAAAGAGACACAAAACAAAGAGATGCAAAATGACTGCAAAGAGAGGAGAAACGACCACAACAACGGCTGCACTTGTTGTTGTCTGAGGAGGGTGGGCTTTTACTTGCCTGTGCCTGAGGTCCCATTGTCTCATTATCTGTCCATGTCCTCAGTCCTCAGTGTTGCAGCTCAATTAATTCACTTACGTTTTTTTCTGTTGTTATTGTCTTGCAGAGCATCAAGGTGTCATGGCAGCCACCACCACGCAGCGCCCAGAACGGCATCATCACAGCCTACAAGATCAAATACAGGAAGACTGGTCGCCGTGGAGACCAAGAGGCCATCGAACCCAACAACTTCTGGTACCTGTTCACAGGTGAGGCTCTGTGGGTTGTACTTGGGTACTTGAAAGATATACACAGTAGGGTTGGCCGATTGGACAAATATATTGTACAGGTTATCAGTTGTTCTCTACTGTTATTGTTATGTATTGACTATTATGACATATCCATAAAGTTAGTTAGTCAGGGGTCGTTAGTTTGCACACTGAGGTCCCATAAGAAAAAGGCTAGGAACCACTGCTCTAGTAGTATTTAATAGCTGTATAACAATTGAGCTCTATGGCACAGAGGAATGAGATATATTTGACATGGGATTTGGAAAATAAGGAATATATTGGATATCACAAGACTTATCCTTTAACATTTGCCCTCATCCTCTCTTCCAAACACATTTGATAAGACTCTTGTCTTGTTTGGACCAAACTACAAAACAAGGATTCCGAAAACCAGACTGTAGTTTCCATATGTATTCCATATGGGTTTAAGGGAAACAGACAAATGTTTTCAGAGAACATCACCTAAGGCTGACAAACATTCAAGTAGAGAAAAGAGGAGGTTTAAATCCTCAAGGTGCCTGTGTGTGTGTGTGTGTGTGTGTGTGTGTGTGTGTGTGTGTGTTGGTCTACACAGTGGACTGGTCTGCTGCCTGTTTTTTTGCGTGTATCTTTATGTGTCTGTGTGTGTTTTTTTTTTTTCCTTCTGTGAAAGAACATCTACATTTGCATGATTTTACATTTTTTGTGTGTGTGTGTGTGTGTGTGTGTGTGTGTGTCTGCATTCACACTGCCACAAGCTATTATTTCAATTTGACGTGTGCAGGATTTGAATGAAACTGATCTTCCTTTTCATTATTTTCCACTGATGGTTATCTTCATCTGTTTGTCTGCACAGGATTTCATTCCCCAGTGGCAGGTGTTTATGTGTGTGTGTTGAATCTGATCTGCCCGCTGCAAGCCCGGCTGTCACCAATAATCACTCCTTTTTACTGTCTGAGAATAAAAACTGCATTTCACTAAATAAAATAAAACATTGCAGCTTCACCGAGGAGATTAACGCATGACATGCTAAACCATCCAATTAGCAAGTTTCGGATTCTGTTTCCTGACACATTCTGAACAGAGCAGTGAAAAAGGAAGAGCTGCTGGTTCATTAACTATTGTAACCCACTGTACATTCCCAGGAATAATCCAGAGTCAAGCCCCAAGTCACAAACAACGAGTACGAAGTCCGGTTTCAAGTCAAGACGAGCAATTCTCAAGTGTAGTCCCAAGAATAGTTCTAAATCAAGACCAAGTCATTGTTTGCCCTTCACCAACTTCAATGCCTTTTTTGAACTTTAAAAGCAACATGTTTTGCATACTACTAGAATCTGAAAATTAACAGATTTAAACTTCTGAATCTTTCATTAGATTTTAACAATGTGTCATATTAATCTTAAGCTCACAGTTAGCGTCATTTTAAGCTGTGATTGGACGTGTGTTATTCACCTGTCCCCAGACTTGTACCTTTATTTTTATCAAAGTGCCAGATATTTTCCAACTCACTCTCTCTCTCTCTCTCTCTCTCTCTCTCTCTCTCTAGGTCTAGAGAAGGGCAGTCAGTACAGTTTCCAGGTAGCAGCCATGACAGCCAATGGAACAGGTCCAGCCAGTGACTGGTGTACTGCAGAGACGCCAGAGAATGACCTGGATGGTAAGAACAGAGAGAGAGAGAGAGAGAGAGAGAGAGACTTGTGTGTGTGTGTGTGTGTGTGTGTGTGTGTGTGTGTGGTAGAAAGAGAGAGTGAGAGACAATCTGTACAACAGCATGTAAATACCTCCGCTGTCCCAACACACACATAAATATTTAACCAGTTACGGCCTGAGATGGATAGATGGAGGGAAGATTCACCTCAGGGGAGGAGGGATGGGAAGGTCGAAAGCAGGCGGGGGAGGCGGGAGAGGTGGAAGAGAGGAGTATTTGTATATTGTTTATAAGATCACAGGTACTGTAGGTGAACTTTCTGTTGATCACACTTACGGTTGCAGTTACAAAGCAGTGGTACAAAAAGTCATGAGGGTGTTTTTTCATACCCCCAAGAGAATAAATTCCATTTCTGTAACAAAAAGTGCTGAAGCAAAGATTCTTTTTTCAACCTTTGCTTTTGCCCTCAAGTGGAAAAGAAACTTCTTCTTCCTCTGCTTCCTTTTAGTTATAATGTAAAAGAAGAACACACAAGCTGTACCGCCTGTTATTTAGTGGTGTGTAGACTATTTAAGATACAATAAATCCCTGGAAATTGTTACTGTCGTAAAGCACAACATGAAAACTAAACAAAAAACTATAACTCCTTCTGAGGCACCCATAGGTGGAGGCTGCTGTATAAGCAGATGATGATTGACAGTAAAACACATTTGTAATAATATTAGATATTTTCTCATAAGAATGACTGTTGACAAATACCGTACATTATTAAACATAATAATGTCCTTTTAGCTGTTAACAACTAGGGACATTATAGGGAGTTAAAATAAAATAAGAGTCAGAATAAAGTCTAACAGAAATTATACTTTTATTAAATACTGTGCTCTTTTAAGTATTGCAATTTGGAATAATCTGATTTTGTTGACTTTCTTTCTAGCACCACAATCAGGTCAGGATTTCAGTGTATTGTAGAGGACAGTAAGCCATGACATTTCGGAATTAAAATCATCCCGCGCAAGATAAACCATTTCGATGTAGGATACATGTAATAGTTTATATTCTGCTAGTGATAAGGATCAAAGCACAGGAAAGTTGCCTCTCCATTGTCTAACCATCACACAGTTTCGTTTTCTGCTGTTTGATGAACTTTACGGTCTCACTGCTGTTCAAAAAAATGAGGGGAAAAAAATGTAGTTGCAGAAGCACTACCATCATTTGGCCCTAAATTAAGGGTTAGTTGACTGCTGAAAGTCTCATTACATTTTATTACAAGGACATTTTTACAAAACCAAAAGGCCACTGGCTTTAGGTTCGGACAGCAAATTCTTACCTGGGGAAGATGTTTTCTGTTTCACCAGAGAAAGGAAAAATGAAAGAAATGAAGAGGTGAAGAAAAACAACAACCAACAAACAGGCTGTCAGCTCTTGGGTTTGGTCACCTAATAATTTCTAGCAGAATAATTAGAAACGCTGACCTCAGGCTGAGGCCCAGCAGGAGCTGGTCCTGGTCAGCAGGAAGCTGCTGAGATAAAAAACAAACACATCCATGCTAACTGTGTTTCCCGGCTGGGACAGAGGGAAACACAAATCTCATTTCAATGGATTATCACTCAATAAAGTGATATGAGGTGTCTTCCCCTGAGGACCCAGAGCACGCTAATCTGATCTAATCTGATGCTGAGGAATAACACAAAGTGTCAGGGCTTATTAGGGCTTAATACACAGCTAACGGGGTTAGCATCTGTTAGCCCAATTGCTCTAAGTACCATCCACTGCTGCTGCTAACAGGGTTAGTTTTAAAATTGCCAGTGGTGGAGGTCCAGGCCATAGCCAGGACTACAAAAACACTGAGGTCTGAGGTCTCCCAGACCCTGTTGTCTTCTTCTTTGGTGTGACATTTGATTGTTTGTGTTTCTGCAGAGAGCCAGGTGCCCGACCAGCCCAGCTCTCTGCACGTCAGGCCGCTGCCCAACAGCATCATCATGTCCTGGACTCCGCCCCTAAGCCCAAACATCCTGGTTCGAGGTTACATCATCGGCTACGGAGTGGGTAGTCCCTACGCCGAGACGGTTCGGGTGGACAGCAAGCAGAGATACTACTCCATCGAAAACCTAGGTGAGAATGTGATTGGAGTACAGAGATACTGGTTCCAGTCCTTCTGCTCAATCATCAGTTTGATTTACAGTTCAGACAATGTCGATTTCCATATTTCCATATTACAGAAACAGTTACATGCTACATTAGTGTAATAAAATGGTACGTTGAACTGGTCCGATCTGTTATTTTAACTGTATCACTAAGCTACACCAGGAGGCCTGGGGTTGGGGCCATCTTGTTGGGTTAGTTTTTAGGTTTAGTTATTTTCATATCTAATTTATTCATTTATTAAATCTTTGACTGTGTCAGTCATCTGTATCCATGTGTTTCAAGTCCACATGAAATGGAAATCATAGTACTGTTGGCTTTTGCAGATTTACATGTTCCCTGTATGAACAGGCAGCTAGGGAGGGTCGTGGTAGCCAATAGCGCTGAATGTAACGTCCCCCACCATGTAGCTGTAGCGGTCATAGCTGGCTCTAGCAGACTCGGAGCTCCCGGTGAACAGCACAGCATCTGATGCCGAGCCCAGTTTGATGACAGGGAAACCAGTACCCATGTGGTTTGCCAGATTTGGCTCCTGGCACCCCGGAGCTGAGTCAGCTAGGATTAGCCAACTAGCTCCAGGCAGCTAACATTACCGTTACTTTTAGCAACAAGTCCATCAGGAAACTCCCTAAATCACCTTGACCTGGCCTCCATCTGTCTTAGAGTCTGTGTTCACTGTGAGGCTGCTACAACAAGCAGTAAGCTTGCGAAGGTCCGGCTCCCAGAAACAGTGATCAGTGATCTGTGTGTTAGCCTTAAAGGTCCTCTCCTATGGAGTCCACCATGTTGAATCGCCATGTTTGTACAGTAGCACAGAATGGACAAACCAAATACTGGCTGTAGACAGAACCTTTTGCTCTTTTTGTGAGTTAAGCGGCCACCGTAGTTTCTCCTACACACTTGGAATAGGAGGGTGAGGCGAGGGGGCTGTAATCTGCAATAACACCACTAAGTTCTCCACACTGGTGCGTTAAGTGCCTTGCAGGAAATAGAGCTGCTGGTCTAGGGTCAGGTCAGGGTCATTGAAATTGAAATACTGATATCATGTCTGTAATTAATACATGGTTCTTCCCAAGGAAATTTTATAGGAAATTGTGGACGTGTAAATAAAATCATACTTTTTTATAAAAGTTTAAATTCTGTTTCATCTTCAAGCTGCCTGGAATCAAATTCTAGCGGGGAAATACAAAAATATATTTTGGGGGAAAAAACAGCATGTGGGCGAAGAAGTTATATGACCTGATTCTGACTTATTTCTGTGGTCTATTGGTGCCCCAGCAGGTGGGTACCTTGTTGTGAATTTAAAATGCACTGTGCTCAGTGCCTTGCTAAAGGGCAAACTGGCAGTGGTGTCAGACACTTCTGATGTAACGCTCATCCAGCAGTCCCCAGAGCCAGAGACACCTTCAGAAAGAGGAACGAAGGAGCAGATTATTCACAGATATATTTTTCCATCACAGTCAAAACCCTTTTGTTAGGATCTCTTTTATCCCACTCATATCAGCACTTAATAATTCATTATTCCATGAATTCACATTTCCAATGCACTTATTAACACCAATATTTAATATTTCCATCCAGCATAAATCCAGCTTGTCCCCCTGACAAAGTGCCAATATTGACACAGTGCTCCCCAGTTGCATTACTTCATTATGATGATGAAATCCCCATTTAATTACGATCAATGATTTAAAGGAATTTAATAAGAAATCAGCTTGAGGTGGAAATCTAATTGTGAAAGGTCGAAAAAGAGAAAACATCCTCCCCAGCGACCGCAGCAAGCAATTTGCATGCCAAAGAAGACAATAACAAATTGGGTGAAATTTTATATGCGGATGAAAATTCCCGTCTCAGGTCTCATAATGGAGGAGTAATGAAAAAATAAAATCCAGCTGTCGTGTTGCATGCACACATGGGAGCGAGTGCACATATGTACACGGCATTTATAATTCATAGTCATCATTAATTCATATGGTGAGACGTCTGGGGAGCGGAGCGGCCGTGTTTGTTTAACTGATGTGAGCGTTTGGCGCCACATGGAAAGAACATGCGGCATCATCGCATCAAGAGAGAACGACAAGTGGCGGCGGGACGAGTTGCATAGCATCAAGTTAATAGGTGTACAGTCATCATGTGACAGATACAGGTCATGACTGACCATGTAAACACAGCTAGCTTCAAGAAAACAGCACTGAAAAATGTCCTTGTCAAAAAACAATAAAAGAATTAGGGATATGTTTTTTGTGTTTAGGCTTAGGATTGTGCTGAATTAGGGTACTGGGACCTTTTTTGGTCCAATTCAGGCACAAGTCAAAGTAAAACTTGGCTAACCTCTGATCTTCCTTTCCCATAGACTGGGTCGTGAACCAGGATATTTTATTTGCATCGCAAATAAATGTGCAAAATGTCTTTCTCCTGCTAAATGCATTTATTTGTTCTTATTTATAAAGTATTAATAATTCATTAATTTACTCCTGCTTGAATGCATATATTTAGTCTTGTTTTCAATAACACATTCATCAAACAAAGTTGTGATTTATCAAACACAGATCTCTTCAAAATGCCTGGTTTACTGTTCAAGTAGTACAACACCTTTAGTCACAGATTTTCCCTTCTCACTATGAATTGGGTCATTACGGTTTGTCATTTTTTAAAGTGGGTCCGCAGAATAATTTGGCATTTGCCTTTGGGCATCTAGAAGTAAAGTTCAAACTATGGTGGCCGCGAGACGCCCTATAAAGAGTTGGTGTTGGTTTGTCTGTTCTGGGCTACTGTAGAAACATGGCAGATTCCATAGAAGAGGACCCGCTCCCTCTGTAAACAAAACCTTTTCATTAATTATTTTCAGGTGATTATACATCTGATAAGACGTTTCTGACAATAGATCCTCCTTGATGTTACACACTGGACCTTTGAATACATACAGTTTGTATTTCGGAAGCATGAAGGGGAAAGAAATAAAAGAAGAAGAAAGCAAATTGTCTCAACATTTCCATCTCAAAATGACAATGTACTACATTGTATTAATGTCATATAAAATTACTCTTTATGCCTTTCTTTCTCTCCGTGTCCATGTCTCTCTCTCAGAACCGAGCTCGCACTACGTGATTTCCCTGAAGGCGTTCAATAATGCCGGAGAGGGAGTTCCTCTGTATGAGAGCGCCGTCACACGGTCTCTGACAGGTATGATCGCACACAAGTCACCAACAATAATCACAGTAATGTCTGGTCCACCGGCGACCGGTGTTCACACATAAGTGATATGTGGCAGATATAATATCATGTTACATATCATATCAGTGTCAGTATATAAGAGTGTTGTGACTGCTGTGAGAATAATGGTGATGTGGCCATAGTACTTTTATAAGTTGTGACAGTAGTGTAATGAGTACCAGCAGTAGCAATAGCAGTAACAATAGTCTACTCTCAGACTACTGGGTTTTTAGAATAATCAGCCATCAAAACAAAAGGGCAGTCCCCTGTAATTGTAGTAGGATTAGTAGTAGTAGAATAAGAACTAGTTGGAAAAGCAGAGGAAATAGTACTCTCAGTAGCAGCATTAAACACTAGCAGTTGTAATAGTAGCAGTTAAAGTACCGGTAATAATAGCAGCAGTGAGCCTAAAAGCAGTAGCAGCAGTATTAGCAGTAGCTGGAGACGTAGCAGGTCTACTCAACTTATTTATGCTGGGTTAATAGAAGGATAGTGGATGCATGTATTGGCAGCAGTAGCGTTAGCTGTTTCCTGTATAACTAGGAGTAGCTTTATTAGCATTAGTAAGCTAGCAGTATCTTTACCAATAGCCGTATTGGTAACAGTTGTACCACTCACACATACAGCATAGGCTGCTATTCAACACTACACTACAGGAGAAAAATGAGAAAAGCTCAACTTTTTGCAAATGCTCTGGGACACAGTGTGATTAACCAATCTAGCGAGGGCCACTCAAACTTTTAAATCTCAAAGAAACAGAAACACAGAGTCGTTTACTTTGTTCTACTGTATTAGAGGAATGGGGATCCCAGACATAGGACCACATGGCAGATCAGTCTTGCCCACTCGGGGTCATTGTTGTATTAAAAGCATTTTAAAAACATATACCATGTGAAAAGAAACAAAATGTAAAACCATTCTGTACTTGGGAAACAAACTACAGCAGGAAAGCTTTCTTGTGTCATGTGTGGTACAGCAGCCATACAACTGTCCACTGCTTTGGATCTGTAGCAGCAGCTTTAGCAGTAGCAGTTACTGGTAATTGTAGCAGCAGTACCATTAGCAACATATTAGCTTCATCGACTAATACTTACAGTATTTGTAACAGTAGCAGTGTTAGCTGTGTTTGAGTTTAGTAGTATTACTAGTAGCACTAAAAGTTACATAGCAGCAGTCATCGCAGTAACTTTGTATCTTTAGCCCCAGCGGTGGCACTGAAATAATCCACGACGCTGTCCGTGGTGCTGAAGTAGCAGACAGATTTCTATTTGCTTCTTTTTTTTTCAGTTTCCTCTTGGACCTGTAGCATTCTCTAAACTATACACTATAAATACTCACTTCTATACTATAGTGTGTAGCCTATATACTCTATAGGGTTGTGTTAAAGTGACAAGTACCCACATGTAGTCGTGGGAGAGGTAGAGGATCATAGAGACATACTGCTGCCTGTAGTATTCCTCTAATATTCCTATTATTATTCAGTAGTGTCTGTGCTTCTGAAAATACACCCCTAGACCAAGCTTGTAACAAAATATTTTAGGGGAGACATACAGATTTTTACTATAGGGTTAGGGCCATCCTCCTGGCTGAAGTAGTGCTATTAGTAGCCTTAATGATAGACGAGTAGCATTAGCAGTATTAAGTAACAGTAGGAGCAGCAGTAGCCGGTTTCCTAAATATAGATGTCTTAGTTTTGGGGAAATGATGTATACTATCTCTTCCAGCTGTGTTCGAGTAAGGACTTTTTTTGTGAGGAAGTTTGCTCTTGCAGTTTTTTTCCAGGAGGAAAGATTTGGAAGTGACAGTCAGGACAGTTAGGCTTCAATCTGAATCCAGCAGTACCGAGTCCTGAAATATTCATCCCGACGAAACTGTTCACACGTCCGTCACAGCCCATCTGTGTGTGCTTAACATGTAGAAACTGTGTGTGTATATATATTTATTTCTGTGTGTGTGGCTTGCATGCTTTGCCGTATGTGCCTGTGTGAGAGAGCGAGAGACTCATTAGCTTCCTGCAGACGATGGGCTGTAGAAGTGAGATAAATGAAACACATCCAACTCTCAGCCAAGTTTCATCTTATGAATTAAACAGCCAGCCCTCCTCTGCTCACCCAGCACCCTGCAGCTGACATAAATCCTTTATTACTCACATAAAAATGCCACATTTCTGAGGTTTTTCAACCCTCATGATGTGATGATAGTTGCAGGAAAAAGCAACAGCAGAGACCACTTAGCTCGCCACAGTTTCTTAACCTTCGTGCTTGTGCAGTGAAACTTTCTAAAACAAGATTTTTTATAACTCATGCTCATTGTCTCTGATTGAGATTTCTTTTAAAAGATGGAGTAAGAAGCGCAAGAGAGGGTAGATGAAGGTTGGATTTTGGGGGGTAGACATTTGATGGACTTTATTGAAAGCTCAGGGAAAGTGGAGAGGGCCAGAAAAAGAAAAATAAGTGAAGGCAAGGACAGAACAGAGACGAGCGAAGAGAGAAAGGGAGCATGACAAAAGTAAGGATTCAAAAAGAAAGAAAGTAAAACACATTGGGACATACAACGCACATTTATTCATCTCCTACTGTCATGATAGAGTTTGGAGAGATATGTACTGCATATAGACACAGATAGAAACACGTGCATATAGACAGAGTCATGTCAAGATTTATAAAGAAACATTGTTAGACCCACTCTTGCCGTCAGTAGCTGTCTGCTTCAAAATATGACACTGTAGATATCCCTCTAGAGTCATTTCTGGATGTGCAGGTTTGTACATCTACAAAGCTGATTCCTGGTTAGCTCATATTTTTACAGGTGTAACATTTATGTTAAAGAATGTGTCCGAACCAGCAACAGCATCCGGAGAGAGAGAGAGAGAGAGAGAGAGAGAGAGAGAGAAAGCCTGAGAGAAAGAGAAGGGAGAAAGTGTGCTCGTGTGGACACAGACAGAAGGAAGGAAGTGTGAAACTGAAACTCACCACTCAGTGATTAATTTGGGCATATTCACAACTAATCCGTCATAGTGTTAATGATGATGATTTTTTTCTGTTCCATCCAGTCTCATTTGTGTTTGCAACTTTGTAGAGATTTGTAAACACACCTGGAGTTCTGTAGAGAAATATAAACACATCTTGAGTTCTGTCGACAAATGTAAACATATCTGGAGTTTTGCAGAGATTTGTAAACACATCTAGAGATCTGTAGAAATATATAAACACATTTGGAGTCCTCTAGAGATTTATAAACACATCTGGAGTTTTGCAGAGATGTGTAAACACATCTAGAGATCTGTAGAAATATATAAACACATCTGGAGTTCTGTAGAGATTTGTAAACAAATCTGGAGTTCTGTAGATATGTGTAAACACATCTGGAGTTCTCTATAGATTTGTAAACAACTGGAAATTTGTAGAAATACATAAACACATCTGGTGTTCTGTACAAATACGTAGACACGTCTGGAGTTCTCTAGAGATAAACAGTCTAACATGGAGTTGTAGTGTGACAGAGTTGATAAGCTGAGACCCTGAGGGCTGAGACAGAAACTAAACCCATTACTGTTCTGACAAGGTCATCAACTGTGACAGACACACACACTCATTTTCTGTCTTGTCATGTCGGGACAAGCTGAATTCTCCATCACTTTATTGTGGCAGGCTGCCGGAGAGTTTTTTACGAGAGCTTTTAAAAATGGCTCGTTAACGGCGGGATCCTCGTTAATATACTGCCTCGTCCTCGCCTCGCCACCCGCACACTGCAGAAACAGAACTGATCCTCAACCAGCCAACACACCGCCATTTAATCAACGACTGGAGGACTGCAGAGAGACAGAGAGAAGGAGAGAGGAAGGGAGACACGGGGGATGGATAACAGCAATTTGAAAGGATGGAGGGAGAGACAAGGGAGGAAACGAGGCAGAGAGGAAGCATGAGTGATAATCAACGGATGGAAAAGGTAATGGAAAGAGAAATGAAGGAAGGAGAGGAGAGAAAGAGGGGATGGGAGGTTAGAGGGAGAAACAAGGAAAGTGAGTGAGGTGGGAGGGATGAGAAAGGAAGGAGGAAAAGAGGGAGATGTGCAGGACAGGATAGAGATAAAAGGAAGGAAGAAAAATGTGCAGAGAAGGGAGAAAAGTGAACAGACGGAGGAGGGATGTAGAGAGTTAGGAAATAAGGGATGGAGGGAGGTGAGAGAAGAGGGAGGAGTACAGTGGAGGAAGAGGAGGAGGCGTGTCCTCCATCCTCATCAGTATTCTGTCCCGACTGGAGCTTTATTGTGATGCTGGACGACCAGTTTAACCACGACACCGCCTGCTGCAGCTCGCCCCCCAGCTCCAAACACCTCTTTCATCAATCTCTCTCTCTCTCTCTCTCTCTCTCTCTCTCTCTCTCTCTCTCTCTCTCTCTCATCACTCTCTCTGTCTATCTTGGGCCCTGCAGCTGTACATCTCTCTTCAACAGCAGCACATTAGATGTCAGTGTTGATTCTCTCAGTGGCCTCGTTTACACTGCAGACACAACAGGACGAGTCTCCTTCATCTCCCAGGACTGATGCTGCCTTCACATGAACTCACACTGAAAGTCAACACCGCGATATGGTCGACATTCAACGGGTTTAAATCATGGAATGTTGATTGAAAGAAACACTGTAGCTCAAATCACAGCATCGGGCACATTCGTCTGTTCCTCCTTATGTATGTTTACCAAGTAATAGCTGAGATCTGGGATCATGGTGACATCATCAAAAAGAAGTCTGACGGGTCAAGAAACTGTTTTTTTCAGATTTTCTAAACCACTTTGTCTGCAGGTAAAACTGAAAGTGACATCTGAAATGTCAGTCATAGTTTCTTTAGGAGAGAAATCAGTCTCAGTGCATGTGACAAACTTGTATTTCGTGATCCACAAATCCAAATTAAATTCAAAATCCACAAATACCAACTATATATAATTTTGCAAATAAATGCAACCGAAATTGAGCAAATGTCAGTATTCTACAAATATATTTCCATAAGCCTATTAATCTGATAGAATTTGCTTTTGAAAAGCTTCATATAATTTCACGTACAGATTATTAAATGTGTATGCAGGGATCAAGTGACTGGATGACATTTGTATATAGACTTTACTGCTTTCGATCCACAAATGCATGTGGAAAACAAAGTATTTTTAATTGTAATATTCTAGTTTGATGACTCTACTATTTTTGTCACATTGAGGTTGTGTCCCCTTCCTAACAAATAAAAAATCATTATGTTACAACATGATAACAAGTGGAAGAGCAGTCAGTCTATAAACTGGGATGGATGGTTGTTATGGACAGTTCACCAGTTTACCATGGTTTTGACTTGTCTTCTGACCGCTTGAGCACTGGAACACTGGACCTATTTGAATCTGTGGTTGTGGCCACAAATACCCCTTTTCAACCAAGGCAGTTTGCGGGCTGGTTCAGAGCCAGTGCCTAATCTTGAACCAGTTCTTCAAGTATCGAGGTAGCCAAAGAACCACCTCTCCGCCGGCAAGACTGGTTCCAGTAGAACACTGACACTTTACTGGTCTTGAACATAGCTGGGGGCGCCTTGTGGCTAGCCAGCTATGTATTTATTAGCTGTTTAGCAAACTACTAATTTCTCACATCAATGTTTAATTTGTAAATGTATCTAAGTTCAATCTTAGCAACGTTGATGTGAGAAATGAGTAGCTATGCTTGCTTGGGTAATGTTTGTTGATCAACAGCTAGCCAGCTATAGCTAACATTGTGTAACATTGTGTTACTGTGTAACAGTGACATAATGAAATGGCTGTCTAGCCTGTGGAAAAGCAAACCAGTTCTTAGAAGGTTCTCAAGTTGAACCGGCACTAGCACCAGTCCAGAACTAGCACTAGGTTCAAATTGGTGGAAAGAAAAACTGTGCCACTACAGGGGTATCTGTCGGTTACTCACCACCACTGGCCAGTGGATCAGTTTAGGTCTAGTTCAACCCACAGAGGTCCAGTTGGTACCTGTAGCCCACTGTGGCCCAGCAGTCCAGATAGTGAAGATGGATTTAAGGGAGATGATGTGGAGCCTGAGGAGGCTGAGCAGTCTGTTCAGCTGTAGAGTTGGAAATGATTTGTTCCAGTTACACTTCTGAAGTGTGTGTGTGTGTGTGTGTGTGTGTGTGTGTGTGTGTGTGTGTGTGTGTGTGTGTGAAGGCACTGAGGTAAAAATAGATGTTAGAAAACCACACTGAGATGATCTTCCTCCGGTCTCATTTCTGCTCATTTTCTAGAAAGAAGAGAGAACAGAACCAAAACTTTGAACTGAAATTTCTACACTATTTTTTTTCTTTCTTCTTTCTGTCCTCAGTTTGTACACAAGAAACTGGAGCAACATTTAAATAAAAGTTCATATAATTTATTCCTCTCATTTTATTTAGTATTTATATATTCTGTTGTTCACTTGACGTTTCTATCTTATTGTTTGTTTTTTTATGTAGTTGTGGCATCTTTTAGTTTTTTATTTAATTTATTTAACCTTTTTCAACATGTAATCTCGGTCAGCAGTATTTTGCTACATCAGTATCAGTAACAAACCTCACATAAGCTCAGCTGCCCTGCAGGCTGTATTAGGCCTGCTTAGTAAATGCATCAAACTAAAAATAATGATTTAGAAATGAATGACACTGACTTTCAGTGAACCAGAAAACAGCGTCATACATTCAAAACTGATGTGTGTTTATTTTAAACTATGTGTGTGTCACTCACTGTGTTTCTGCTTCCAGTAGGTTGAACTATCAGTGGAGGCCTCAGAGCTGGAATCAGCAGAGCGACTTATATTCTATTCCTCAGTTCACTGTGTTTATCTCTGCTCATCCCAGCTCTCTGTTAGCATCTGTTAGCGTCTGTTTCATGTTCTGCTGCCTTCAGGTGCTCCCCCAGCAATAATTTTAAATCTTTATACTTTTTTATTTCTTTCTTTCACAGTTGAGCAGTTCAACAGCATGCTCAAGTACTTGCTAATTTGATTCACACAAACAAAGATGTTTTTGTATTTTATTTTATTTTTTTACATCTACGGTAGTTCTGACAGTACTTGAAGGCAACAACTGCTCTCTGATCGGCTGGAGACACAGATCCACACAGATGGATTTAATTTGTTCGAATATACAGAAGACCGCAGTGTGTGAACACTGTCAGATAAAAAGCTTGTACCTCCAATTTTGTTGATAACCTTTGGTAAAACCTTGTGAATAAGCAGAAACATACTACAAGCCCTGAAAAGCTCACGTGAGTTTAAAACATGTGACACACCATAACACATTTGATAAATATCTTAAATCTGAAATATAAAACATGTTATTGTTGTTTTCACAAGTGATACATTTACATTTACATGTGTTGTTTTTCAGATATTTGACTTCACATGTTTGGGGTTTTTCTTAATGACTCTTTTCTTGGTTCAGTTAAAGGAAAACACCACTTTATAACTTAAAATGAATTTGCCAGCTCTAACCACAAAGTATATCAGTTATGATAACACTCTACTTCCCAAAGCAGAGATTTCAGAATGCAGTGACAACAGTAGCTTTAACAAACGGGGTTACAAGGCACAGGCAGTCAAAAAAATACTGAGGTCCTAGAGCTGATGCCACAGCCTCTAACAGGGTTGGTTCAGGTGGCATTCGTGCTCCCAGGTCGTCAAATACCGACGCTTTGGGCTGCCAAAGCTGTCGGCTGAGTTTCAGCCCTACCCCTCTGTGGATCTGAGGCCCCGATTCTGTTTAGAGCTGTCTTCTTACTCTTTGTCTTTTTCTCTCCTCTTTTCTCTCCTGTTTTTCACTTTCTCATCCATCCACTCCTCCTTCCCTTCTTCCCTCTCAAACAAACATGGTTGCCTGCTGCATGTCATTTCCAAACTTGCATGTCATCTTATGTATTTATTTACTTTTATTTTTTGTTTTTTAACCGCTCTCGGTATATAAACATGTAATCTGAATATATGCTTGTACCACTCTTGTCTCCATATATAAATCTCCATTATCACACATTCATTATCCTGTATGGTTTCATTTATTATCCCCAAACACCCCGGTTACTGTTAACGACCCCCCTCAGACCCCATAGACCCATCTGAGGATGACCTCTTCCACCTCTTTGATAAATACCCCACTCCCATGCCAGACACCAGCACACCCATGATCCCCCCGGTAGGAGTCCAAGCTGTGGCTCTGTCCTCGGACTCGGTCCGTGTTTCCTGGGCCGACAACTCCATGACCAAGAACCAGAAGGCGTCTGAGGTCCGGTACTACTCTGTCAAGTGGAAAACCAGCTACTCCACTAGTGGAAAGTACAAGGTAAACACAGTCAGTCCATGGCGTTAATGATTTTAAGTAGTTTAAGGTTCGGATAGGACTTGGGATTTATCTGTCTCGACTTGGATATTATCTGTGTTGACTTGGTTCTTAGTCAAACTACAAAGTTTAAGATTTGAACTTAAAAAGTTTGAAAAAAAGTTTTGCAAGTCAAGGCAGGTCCTTGACTTTGTACTTGCCTTAGAACTCAACTTTGATGACTTGGCACTTGACCTGGGACTTTTCTGTCTTGACATTGGACTTGACTTGGAACTTCAAAAGACTCGAGACATACTTATAACTTTCAAAACAATTACTCTGTCCTTCCTCCGCTCTCTTTAAAGCCCAACACTTAGAAGCTTTAACAGCTCTTCTGTTAGAGGATGAAATTATAGTTTATTTGTAATGAAATGCATATGTTATTGCATACATACACATTTATTATGTCCCCTACCTATTTCAAGTTCACCTTATTATTATTCTTTATGAACAAGAGGTTTGACGACAGCAACTCAACTAACTGCTGTTGTTAGATAATCACCTGGGATTAAACATCACTTAGAGTGGCAGTGACTACACAGAGCACAACCACTGTAAACTATAATCATGGACGATCAAGGAGTTTTCCAAACCATAGTTACAGCAATCTGAGCATCAAACACACTGAAGAAAACTGCACTCTTTTGTTTTTCAAAAGCTTTTATTGATCAAGAATCTAATCTGTCTAAATAAATGGTTCTCATCTGACAGAAACAACATAAAATCATGTAGTAAAACATAACATGGAATCATTTTGATTGTTCAGAAAAAAGATACAATTCTTGACTGGTCTTGTCATTTTCTCCGCTCACCTGCTAAGACTTCTTTTCTTCTAATAAAACTTTGAACTTTAGAAAAACCAGCACAATAATCTTAGCTCTGCTTCAAAAACACTGGAAATAGTAAATCTATACAAGGGCAGACAGTCTCCTCACCTTAATAAAGCACAGTTGAGGGGGAGACAGAGAGAGAAGTCTTTTCTTCTTTTTTTCTCCACCTGATTATGAAAATGAGACATTTCCTTTGTGCCACAAGGAAAAACAGAAGTCTTGCCTTAAAGTGACAATGTAACTGAGTTTGTGCAACTGCTGGGGTTTGTTCATTTTCAGTGATGTCGAAGTCTTAGCTGAACATAATCGTTTAAGTACAAACACAAGGACAGAATGTTTCATGAAACTCTGAGGCATTATTCATCTCATTATGTCTAGAATATATATTCTTTAAAGACAAGAAAAATCTATAATATATTTGTGATGTATAAGATATTGTATCAGCTTTAGTTTTTTGTCTCGACAAATAACTTCACCTTTTCCTTCATTTTTACTCTAAAAACATCTAAATTCTACAACTTTGTTGTGTGTCCAGTCTGCAGACACCACAGCACTCAGCCACACTGTCACCGGCCTCAAACCAAACACAATGTACGAGTTTGCTGTCATGGTAACCAAAGGTCGCAAGTCCAGCACCTGGAGCATGACGGCGCACGCCACAACATATGAAGCAGGTAGGTCTCTCAGACACACGCACACTTGTGTTTCTAGTTCTGTCCTTGTGAGGACTCCATTGGAATAAAACATCCCAACTCTTAACCCTCAAACAGTCCTTTGTCCTTAAGGTGCTTTCCATTTCACTGGAAGTACCAGTAGAGATCTTAAGATGTTGATGTTGTCCTGAGTACCACTGGGATTCTTCAGATGACTTCCGTTGATTTAAAAAACTTTCCAATTTCCATGAAAACTGAACAAAGTTCAGCTGAATTAGACACATTATGGAAATTACCATTTATCTCAACCACTTAAATAGTTAGATTTAGAGGAAATAGTTCTGTTCTTTGATGAAAGTTCTCAAGAATCTGAGCAGCAGTGAGGGTTATGCAGTAGAAAGACTTCAGTGCTCTGCCTGAACAAACGCTACGCTCCATTAAGTGGACCTAAATACTTACATTTAATAAGGGGCTTTAACAATGCACAGAAATCATGTTTTGGTTCAGTGAGGTGTAATGGAAAAACTCCACTCTCCCACAAAAACCACACGACAACTGTCTGCCACAATGAAACCCAACCGCAGACTGAAATCAAAATGTCAAGGTATTCCTTTCAGGATGTTTACAATCATGTTTGTCGGATTTGTCACCCAATTAAGCGTGAACGGCATTACCCCCACTGGTTCCCCGGGGCCCACTGGAATACATTGACATTCAGAGTGAGCAGACGGACTGAGTCCTCTCAGTCCCTACAGTGATCCACTGGCTCTGGACACACAAACACTGACTGCATTTTTACAGCAAAACACAGAAAAAAAACACCTTTACTGCAGCTCACAATACCTCTGCCTTACTGTTAAATAAATAATCATCACCCACTGAGTCTAAAAGACATTAGCTGAGGGACATTATTTTAAGTTGTTTTTTACCTTCTGCCAGAGCCAGTAATGGTGATATCGGTCCATTAAACACTTAAGTCTGGGCAAAATCTCTTGACTTCTACTGGACAAACTCGCAATAAATTTGCTGTGGATTTTCCTGCTCTCTAGAGGAGGAATCCTAATCATTTTGGTGATATCCTGACCTGTCCTCTAGCACCACCAGCAGAACAAAACTTTCCACTTACTGTGCAGTAATAATGAAATATTGAAAACTTTTTTTTAATAAGTAAATATTCATTTAATTGAATGCATTTGAAATAGAACTATTGTGGAACTGTTTTGGTTTGGAACAAGAGAGTAATCCCCACCTAACCCTATTGAGCTTGTCTTGGGCAATTAAAGATGTCAGCAGAGTCCAAATGGGTTTGAACTCCAGCAAGATAACATAATGTTGCACACCTAGCTGGGTTCTATAACTGGACACAAATTTAATCTAGTGCTCCAAATTAAAAGACAAAACAAGTAATTTGTAAACACCCTCCAGAATGACACCTATATCACATCATTCTCAGTGCGTTCCAAAGTCGTTACATCACTGAGTTTTGCGGCCACCGTAGTTTCTCCTACATGCTTCAAAGGCAAGTTATATTCAGCAGTCTGCAACTTCAGGGAAACAGAAACAAACAGCTAAGTCCCCAGTTTCATTTACCTGTCCATCCACATCAACATTCTACCTCTGAATCTTGTTTTGTTTTGTTTGTTGTTTAACACCTCAACCTGACTTCTTCCTTTAGCTCCAGACAAAAAAAAAAATCATAATCCCTACAGCCACTAGGGGGCTTTGCCATTTAAACACAAATGTCACTTTTGGGCAGTGTAGTGTTATGTTTAAAATAGGCAAATAAATTCAATTCAATTTATGCAATATTCTGCAGCTCAGCACTCAGTATACTGTCTTTTTTTCAATGCAGCATTGTCTACATAAAGAACACACAAGAGTGCAGACTTTAAATAATTAGTAATAAAAAGAATAATGGCTCCAGGATGCTTCCTTTATGGGCTTAAAACAGGAAAGCATACAATTGAAGGTCCAGTGTGATACATTGGCAAAAAGGGAAAATAATATGCGTAACTGTGTTTTCATAAGTGTGAAATCACCAGAGTATAGGAGTGGTAAGGTTTTTGTTACCTTAGAATGAGCAGGTTTTAGCTACAGATGCAGCAGATTGCCTTTCATGGAGCCTGCCATGTTGAACCGCCATGTTTCTACAGTTGCCCAGAACGGACACTGAACAAACACTGGCTGTAGATAGCACTTCGTGGCCACTGTAGTTTCTCCTTTGCACTCAGTTTTGAATGCTGGAAGCTCTACTTTCAGGTATATGCACAGTATTTTTCTGAGGTCTCCCTCTGTGTTTATGAGAAGTACAGGTTGTCACAGTCACTAACAGGCTCAGTTGGAACTTATCATTTCCTCCAGCATGTCATGTCAGATTTAACAAGCGGTTTCATTAGCCAATGCTGGGATGCAAGCTTTGAGGCCTGTCCTGGTGTGAAACTTAAAAACTTGTCTTTAATCACATCTATAACGAAACGCACACAGCCATCACACACTAAAGCTCTGATAGCCTGCCACTTAGTTTCCATGGTGACAATTCAGGAGGTAAAATGCCCTGGTTGTGAGGCCAGGCGAGTGCTTGACATTTTCAACATGAGTAATACAACTGGGCAGTTGAGGAGAGTGAAGGAAATTACCTTCTGCACTATTTTCTCAAGTTCACACAGAGCAGATTACTAGAATACAACAGAGTAACACCAATCCCACAGACCAACTGAAGTCTAGATTATTGTCAGATCAGGAACTTCAGGTAAAGAGACACCCAAGAAAATCATAAACACAACTCACCTGGGGAGGTTACTGTATGAGATACAGTTTATTGTAATCATAAGATGCTAACAGTCTAACATAACATCAGTAGGAGCCTATTAGGATAACATGCATTAGGCATTCCCTATTACTGTCATTGACTCCGGGGACAAACACAGGCCGACAGTATGTGCTTAAATCTACAGTCTGCAATTGACTTCCAGTTAAACTAAAAAGTCTGAACATGAAACTGAGGTGCTGTTTTTTTTATCCAATCATAGTTATTCTTAATATAAGCTGAGCTTCAGAATCCTACTGACCATTCCTCTAGCATGAAACTTGATAGGGACATCAATCGTGAACATGGTAAACAGTATGCCCGTTTTTCATGAGTTTTGCAGCCATCGTAGTTTCTCACCTCAAAGCCCGTTCTCATTCCCAGGTTGTCAAATACAGACGTGAGTGTGTTTAGTTCCAACACACCAATCCAACACACTGGTCCTTTAATCAACTTCTGATAACCTTCATCAACTGATGTCCAGAAATTTAGGCTAATCACAGATTATCATCCTACCAGTACTGACAAATTATTATTATTTTTTTTTCTCTTCTTCTTCCTGTCTATCAATAACTGACAGCTCCTAGCTCCGCCCCCAAAGATTTGACTGTGATCAGTCGCGAGGGACGACCCCGCGCCATTTTAATCAGCTGGCAACCGCCGATGGAGGCTAACGGACGAATCACAGGTGAGAATTAACCCAAACACATCATTCACCACAGTCACACGTTCACTGTTCAGTTACAGCAAACACACACTATGTGTCAGAGGTAATAGTTATTTTAATTTTCAATGAACCTGCTAATTATTTTTTCAAATAATAGATAAATCATTTAGTCTGTAATATTTCTAAAAGTAGACCAAACATTATTTTCTAACATCAACACACTGTAGAGAGTACAAGAATTTGGTTGTTGCTCTGTGTATCCAAACACACGCGCACACACACACACACACACACACACACACACACACACACACGCACACACACACACACACACACACACACACACACACACACACACACACACACACACTTCCATTGTTCTCTCTCTCTGCCTCCGAGCGTTCGACCCGGCTGTAAACCCGTCTGTTTTAACGAGCTCCGCTGCTCCACCAGCGTCCTGGAGGACAAATCAAACACTCCCTGCAGGGATAACAGCACAACACAACACAGCACAACACGCACACACACACACACACACACACACACACACACACACACACACACACACACACACACACACACACACACACACATTTCATTCTCAGAAAAAGATTATACTGTTTTATCTAATCCCCTAAAAAGGTTTTCTCAATTTTCATATCTCACACAATACAACTAAATATCTGTCTGTCTTCATCCTGTAATCTAACTTTGTTCAACATTTTCAAATATTAGTCTTCCACTTTCTCTAGTCTTATATTACAATGGAAATATGAGGTGTCTCTGGTCCTAAATTCAACATCTTAAATCAATATGGATATCTTGGGTATTATATTATATTACAAACTGCATAAGAACATGCTAATGCTAACTGTTATACATTTAGTCTGTCTGAAGATCTGTACTGCACTCTGGATATAAATAAGATAAGATTTTCCTTTGGTCCTTGTAGGGAAAATTCAAATTTGGCACAGCAGCACTGGGGAAATGTAGTGCTAAGAGTAGAAAAGGATAAAAATACAACAAAATATAATCACTATATACAATAAAGTGGAATATGGTCTGGATGGATAACATGAATGGTACATGTGCAATGTTTCGAGGTATTGTGCAAAAAAAGAGTTGTACTTAACCCGATAATAGTTAAGTCTAATATCACCTTTTTTGGAAAAATTTTATTAAATTTATAACGCCCTGTCTGACAGGTTACATCCTCTACTACACACTGGATAAGAACATGCCGATAGATGATTGGGTGATGGAGGCGATCAGCGGCGACCGGCTGACCCATCAGGTCGTGGATTTGAACCTCGACACAGTCTATTACTTCAGGATTCAGGCCAAGAATGCCAAAGGAGTCGGCCCACTGTCTGAGCCTGTCCACTTCAGGACCGCCAAAGGTCTGTCTGAGTGTGTATGTGTGTGTGTGTGTGTGTGTCTGACTGAAGATCAAGACCACTGTAAATGAATTCCTTTGTTTTATATTTTATAAGTTTGCTGACTCTCTCTCTGTTGCTCTTTCAGTGGAACATCCAGATAAGATGGCTAATGATCAAGGTAGGCTCTTCCCCCCCCCCACTTGTGTGTGTCTGTGTGAATTTTAAGTCATCTGTCTCATCCACCAGTCATCTCTACTTCTGATTTTTCAGCCATCCATAAATCCTCTTTCATCTTCAAAGTCTTTTCCCCATCATGTTGTCTGTAATCATACTTATTGTTCAAATTAGCTTCAGATTCTTGATTGAGATCACTTCTAATTCAAGTCAACAATGTCAGAATAAAAAAAAAAGATATTAGTAAACAGGTAAAGCAGGTATTACCTTTGTTGGGCATAATGCGATAACACATTAGTCAAATCGACCTATAAAGATGGACGTTGTGTCTTCACTTCCTCCCACTGTACAAAAATTAAGTAGTGGGGATCAGGGTCGTGCCATGGTATCACGGCCCCGCCCATATGCCCGGCTGATTCAATCGCGAGCAGGGCTCAGCTGTCAATCATGACGTGAAACCCCCTTTTTATAGCTTCAAGTAATTCATTAAAACCAAACTGATCAGGAAAATGAACACTGGAACAAACATCAGCGTGATAAGAACTACCTAAAATGACAGAAACCATCTTTGGGAAAAATTTATTTGATGTGTACATTATTTTAGTTTGGCCCTTCTGCTAACATGGAGGCAGCTGGCGATCAATGTGTTTTGGTTTCACTTATGGAAAGTTGTCCTATCGTCCATCTTTATATATGTCGATGGTTGTTCCCAACAGTGGTAATAGCCTACTTACGGAGTAAATTCCACTACTTTCAACTAATTACATTTTCAACCTTAATCACACAATTACAATTACTGAAATGTAAATGGACTCATCAGTGGTTACATTTGGCTTACCTGAAAAGAGAGAATTGAAGCAGACATTTAAAAGTAATGCAAAAGTTATTTTTCCTAGTAACAAATTACTTGTATGTGCAGTAATTGGTAGTAATTTAATAACCTTTGAGAGAAGTAACAATTAACTGTAATTCCTAATTTTCTTACCCAACACTGGCTGTTACTAGCATCATGGTCTTGAATAAAAAGGAGGATATAAGAGAGAAAACAGGGAAGTGAGTTGAAAAAGGTCAGGAAGGAAGGAAGGAAGGAAGGAAGGTAGGATGAAGGGAGGAGAGATAGAAGGAGGGATGAGCATGGTAGGGCTGGCTGAAATCTCAGTCTTGAGAAATCACTAACAGAGAAGAAAAATGTGAAAACAGATGAACTTACTCTATTTTCCTCCAAATTGAATTAATTTTTTACTTGCATGCAAACAACCGCAACTTATCAAACTGAAGGAAAGTCGTTTGTTAATTGCCCGGCAAAAATCATTTTTCTTCGGAGAGATAGAGAGAAATAGGAGTAGAGTGTGCGAGAGGGGAATGCAAGGTTTTTGTAGTTATTAATGCAGACAAATGAGAGGCGATGGAAGAGGGCTGTTTACCATATTTAAGTTCATCAAATTAACTCAGACATAATTAACGCTCTGTTCTCTGATTCTATTAATCAGCCACAGTAAACAGCAAGCAGAAGGGGACATGATGCTAATGAATGCTCAAAACTTTTTAAATCTGCTTCACTAAACTTTGAAATCTCACAGCATCACCATCTGTGCTTGTGTTACTTTTATTTTAAAATATGAACTCGCTGTTACTCGAGATTAATTATTTAAAAGTTTAAATTCTAAAGTTTAAATTTAAATTAAAATGTTTAAAATCTGCTTCATAAATATATACACAGTGTTGTTGAAAAAAAAAAAAAAAATATCAGTAAATTATGTCATTTTATGAAGCATTTTCTAGGTCCAAATGTCACTTTAGTTAATCTCCCTCAACTCTGGTCTCAATGTTGAGATACGTAAAATGAAATAATTCATTACAATATGACATAATTTCAAATGAAATTTAATGAATATTACTTCGCACAATATGAAGTCTTTTCTGGTTTTGTCCAGTGGTCATTTGTATGATTTTTTTCCATCAAAATTTGCCTGTCCCTTACTTCTGCATCCTTACAACAACATTGAACAAAATGCCATAGTGAAAGTATTCGTCAAGTTAGGACGTGAGCAAATGGATGACAGGTTGGGTCACCTTTACTTGTAGGCCTGCAATAGGGAACTGGCTCCTTTCTGGTTTGGGCAGCTAGTTTTGAACCGTCCTGAGAATTTCTAAAAATAAATTGTGTGGAACCCTGCTGGAACCAAAAATTAGACGGTTTTGTTTGGGAACTAAAGTAGGCGTATCATATTCTGCATTGTGCAACGTCCTCTGTTGATAACATAACCTTAATAACAATGGTTTCACTCAAAAGTGGTGGACATGTGGAGTCTTGAATAGAACCAGTTCAACAACGAGAGCCAATGTGGTGGAAAAACACTGTAGTAGGCCTTTTTCACCAACAGGGCTGCATTCTGGTTGGGGCATCTAGTTTTGAACCATTCAGGAGCATTTTGACCTAAAATAAATTGATATGGATCCCAGAAAGTTGGTTCTCAGCAGGAACAAAAAAATAGCATGTTGTCCCTGCAAACAAAGTGTGAATATCTACAGGTCGGTGTGCATCTGTTGGTTACCCACAAGATCAAGAAAAACAAGATCAAATATATTAATTATTTGGGTGAGTGATCATAGTTGCAGAAACACCCAACTATGTTGGGGCAGATTTCCACTATATAGTTCAGTCTAATGTACTAGGTGGATATATGGCACTCAGACAGTATTTGTCCGAGGCGCTCAGTGCTTTCTACAAATGTATCCTGGGAATTTTTAGTGCAGCTGGACTTAAGTGCAGTGAAGCGTTTCAGGCGTTGGGACACTGAACCAGAGAGACTCAGCTCCAGTGTCAGGGTGTTAAATGGTGCTGTTTGTCACTGACAGATGTGTATGTCTGTGTGTGCGCGTGTTTGTGGTATGTGCACATGTACACACTGCGGTCCCTCTCCATATAAATCAGAAGTGTCGTCAGGGGAGGAGGGAAGATTGATGTTCAGCCCTGTTACTGTGGACCTTACACTGTAAACACACACACACAGATATACACACTGTTTAATGCACACACAAAGACAGACTGAGAAGAAACATAATTTGTGTGTGTGTGTGTGTGTGTGTGTGTGTGTGTGTGTGTGTGTGTGTGTGTGTGTGTGTGTGTGTGTGTGTGTGTGTATTTTCAGAAACATGGAAGATTTTAAAATGCAGCTTTAATCAAACCAGTGTCTACTTGATGGCTGGCGATGAAGGAACCAACTTTTAGCTTTAAAATGTGGGAGAATTATGTATCGTGCCTGACTTTAGCTTCATTTGAGGTCTTTAGATTTGGTTTCCTGATGGGAGCGACAGTGTAGAGGTTTTGAAAATCTCTCTCATCAGTTTCCAGTCTCTGTTCACTGGCAGCCTCTATGATGATCTGCTTCTGACTTCCTCTTCAGATTTCTTCCTCCAGTGTTCCTAATTCATCTACTGCCTCCCCTGCTGGTTGGTGAACTGGGGACAACATATAAGCCAGAACATTTTTTCTTTTCTTTTTTTGAAAATAATATGGTTTAATTTGACACATTTCACTTACAAATATACAGGTGTCTTAAATGGCAAATACACCGATCAGCCATATCAATATGATCACCTGGGCACCCTGTCAAACTGTGATGACACCTTTCTATCAGAACCAGCATTAACTGTTTCAGCAGTTTGAGCTACAGTAGCTCGTCTGTTGGATCGGACCACACGGGCCACAATGAGCCTCAGCCCCCTATGCCCCTGTCTCCAGTTCTTTTCCTTCCTTGGACCACTTTAATAGGTACTGACCCCTGCAGACCGGGAACACCCCACAAGAACTGCAGGTTTGGAGATGCTCTGACCTAGTCGTCTAGCCATCACAATGTGGCCCTTGTCAAAGTCACTCAGATCTTCGCTCTGCCCATTTTTCCTGCTTCTAACACATCAACTCTGAGGACAAAATGTTCTCTTGCTGCCTGATATATCCCACCCACTGACAGGTGCCATGATAACCAGATAATCAGTGTTATTCATTCACCTGTCAGTGCTCAGTATGTGCGGCTGATTGGGTATAGAGTGGTCACATAGTGATGATGTAGCTACTGTAAAAGGGACTCAAAATATACTGTACTACTTTAATGTAATGGACTAGAGATTTGATTCGGCCCAATTCATCGTGCCCAACCCAAGCAACGAAAAATTCTGTGTGAACCTGAACCAAACCAGTTTTGGGCCTGAACTCAAACTTAGTCAGGAAAAAAAAGGGGGAAGAAGAATTTAGTTAGTTTACTACAAGCTAAAGTAAACTACATTGTGCATATAATAGAGTGCAGATTATTATTAAATGAATAAATAACAAATTTAAATTCCTGTTAATTACAGTTGCAAGCACAATTATTAAAATATATATATGTATTATTTTTATCACATTTTGTGAACCCAGCCCAGCCCGGGCGGGTCTTATCGGGTCCAATTGGGTTCGGGCAGATAATCGAAGCTTTAAAATGGACTGCACTTATATAGTGCCTTTCTAGTCTTCCGACCACTACTTGTCACATTTACCCATACATGTAGAGCAATTTGAGGTTCAGTATCTTGCCCACATGCGGAATGGAGGGAGCTGGGGACTGAACTGCAGATTTTCCAATTACTGGACGACCCACTTTAACTCTGATCCACAGCTGTCCCAATATGGACGGAATCAGCATCTTGGTGCACCAATTTTGTAGGTGACAAACTGGACACTTACCAGTTTCTATATAGGCAGAATCGTTGCCAGAAGATGCAGTTGCAGCATCAATACAACTACATTTAGACAAGCTAGTCTCTCTTCTTAGATTTTTACATCTGCATTACACACAATACAGCCAGAGCTCTTACTGGCAATGAATCAAGTGAAGGGTTATTCCTCATCTGATTCAGTGGTACTATTCATTTCTTACAAATGGAGTAGATAGTTAATTAGAGATATTCAACATCCATTGTTAGCACCCGTACTCTTCACACGTTTTCAGAGGATAATACACTGTTGTCTTTGTGAGGCACTGAAGATGATCCCAACATTCATTAAGATTGTATGGATAGATTAGTTGAGTACTGTGAAAAGAATCACTTATTAATCCAAAGAAGTTTTGGTCTTTCAGTCTTTCACCAGTTACTGTCCATACACAATTTGAACCAGTATCTATGTGGACTCTCTTGGACTCTTGGAGTGCACATATAGACTATATCTGTAGTAGGATACAACGATGCATTTACTTTCTTAGGATACTATGGTCATTTGGAAACTATTGTTTTTCTGATCTATAATACAGTGTTATGCAGTATCTACGTATCTGTTAAAGTTTGTGGCTCAAAAGCTTGAGTCAACTTTTCAAACTGCATATACTAACAGGATGTTGTCTCTTGGCTGGTAAGATTACATCACACCCCTCCCATAGTTTATTTGAAGAACATCAGCTTTTGCAATCAAACAGAAGAGTCCACAGGCTCGGCTGAACAGACTGCAGAACTTAAAAAAACTGTTAAAACTGTTAAAAAAAAGAGTTTGGGTTCTAAGTAGGCCTCAGTGTTCATGTGTAGACTAAGCACTGAATGTAAAAGGAAGGGATTAAATTGGCCACACAACATAGATGTATTCATAATGTCTGATTATGATACGTTGTGTTTAGTTATTTATGTGAAACAGTGTACACCTTGGGATGTAATGATAACGTAACCTTCAAGTCACAGTGACTTGGTCCTGTCAGGTAGCGGCTATGTCAAGAGGGTCCAACTGCAGACCTGGAAGTTCAAGCTTGTTCTCTCTGTGCTCTGCTAAGGTTGTCTTTTGTCATTGATTTTGACCCGGATTTTAATGGACGTGATAATTGCAGCCAAGAAGTAAAGAGCGTTCTGTTGGGTGAACTCAAGATTGCATCTCTATTTCTTTGCTGAGGATGCACTGCTGAGGGTTTAAGTCCGCCCTTATTGCCTTTTTTTGTCACTGTTTTTCACAGGTGTAACTAGTTAGCAAGCAAGTTAGGTAACATGCCGTCCCCATTCTTAAACCTGTCTACAGTACTTTTTGGTAGCCATCAATGGACACAGCATCAGACCCATATGAATCACTGAAAAAAATCGGAGATGTGGACAGTACTCAGCTAATTGACAGAATATTGTTTTAGCCTTGGCTAGCCCAGTTTCACTGAATTCAGTAGGAGATACCAGGTTAACCAGGTGGCTTCAGTCTTCCTAAAATTCTGGCTAAAGCTCTGGTTTGGCTGAAGGCGCAAGACATTACATATGCAAATTAATGGAATTATAAGAAAATATTTCCACACTGTAAATTTAGGACCTGTTGTTCTAAGGCCCCTGGGAAGTTGTTTGTAATCCAGTCTCATCACCTTTACCTGTCTTTAGTTAATGGTTTAGGCACCTGAAACTCTTATGGGAATACATTCCAAATATCCAGTGAAGTGTTAGTATCCAGGCAGGTGGATAAAACCTGAAGATTTAGACTAAATGCACTCTCAGGAAAGAACTACACACACAAACACACAGCACATGTATGACAAGCATGCGTGTGTATGTGTGTGTGTGTGTGTGTGTGTGGCCCATCTTAACAAAGTAATTTATTTCCTAACAAGGAACCAATCTCTCTCTCCGATCCCTCTATTCCATCTGCAAAATGACTCTGGTTTTCCTTCTTCACCTCTTTCCTTTTTTTGTTCCTTCCTGATGATCCTGTTTATTTCTCACCCTCCAGGTCGAGGGGGAGACCACACTTACTGGCCGTCTGACACCAACCTGATCGACAGGAGCAGCATCAACGGTAACACACACACACACACACACACACACACACACACACACACACTTCTTCTGCTTGACTGAATCTGACTGTCAGAAAGTAGAATTACATTTGGGTTCATTATAGGACTTGATACCGTAATGAGATGTGTGTGTGTGTGTGTGTGTGTGTGTGTGTGTGTGTGTGTGTGTGTGTGTGTGTGTGTGTGTGATATTTTGCAGCATCATCAGATTATCACAGCGACTCAGTTAGTGTCTTTGATCACTCAGCTCAGTCATGTCTAAACTTACTTTAATGACTCGCTGCGTCCTGACGAGGAGCTGCAGCTCACTGATTTACAGTCCTTTAGCGTCGCTTCCTGTTTGCTGTTGTATTGCCGTCGGCAGAAAAAATTAATTAGATTCACTATCTCACCATCAATCAGTCCTTTTAGAAACTGGAGAAAATAATAATCTATGTTGAGGAACAGGATTAAGGCGTAGTGGCATATAAATCTTCCGCTTGTAGTTTTTAATATAATGACACAAACAACAACATTATTGATAATCAGGAAAGTGACAGTAGCTTCTAGTTAGAAAAAAAAACAAACAATAGGACTAAGAGTATCAAACATAAATATGGCAATTCTGATCATGATAATAAAGAATTATTATTACATTACCCTTTTTGTATTCATATTCTTTTTATTTAACTTTAATTTATCCTCACATATTGAGAAGACTACCAAATCTCTATAAGAGGTTAGTAGTCATATCATTTGTAATATTAGCTACAATTCATAATTGAATGACAAAACTCATACTAATGCTTTTATCAATACTCATTAGTATCAACAGTATTAGTAAACTCTAATTGTAATGATAATGCTGATGATAATACCTATGCTAATATTCATTCTAATACTAGCTAATGCTAATTCTAATACCAAAGGTACCCTAAGACCCATGCTAATATTATTTTTATACCAATACTAATGCTGTGTCTCAATTTGAATACTTCCATACTATTTTGAGTACATAAGTGTGTACTTACACACCGGATGGTGAGTGTGGAACGCTGGACACTTTTCACACTTAGTGGTCGTCATTTTCGCTGCATAGCAGAAGGGGTGTAGAAGAAGGTGACATGGTAAAATGTTGCGTTCCTCATTTCTGGTAAGTGCATAACTGACGTGCTCGATTTGGGAAAACAGACAGAGCATAACACTAGTTCTAATGTTAATCCAAATCATACTCCTACAATACCCCTTTTAATTCTAATACTAACAATAATTACAACTTGTATTGAGTGCTGCAGGGAGGATGTGTAGGCAAACCTGGAAGTTGGCAGTGCTCTGGTTCCCTCTAAAAAACACCAATGGGATTGTTCTTGGGTTTTGAATAATGAACTCGCTTCTTCAAGCATAAATGCAATCACTGTGAGTTGGCAATGCACTGATAGAGATGGCTATACTAATAGCTACTAGCTAATGCTAATATTAATGATAAAAGTAATTACACTAATGCTTATGGAAATACTCTGCTAGACACTATGCTAATACTAATGTTGTTGCTATTAATATCACTGAAACTACTGCTAAAGCTATTGCCAATATCATAAATCAGTGTGTGTGTGTGTGTGTGTGTGTGTGTGTGTGTGTGTGTGTGTGTGTGTGTGTGTGTGTGTGTGTGTGTGTGTGTGTGTGTGTGTGTGTGTGTGGCGTTGTTGCTGCTGCTGCTGCTGGAGGCAATCATAAATCCGTCCTCTCTGACCTCCGCCCTCCTCTGGCTTTATGGTGGGTCGGCAAGGGCGAAGCCTCGTTCGTCAGCTCCACCGTATTTCATCTTTAACGCGGTGTCGTCCTTTATGTCGCAGAGCTTCCTCTCACTTGAAAAATTACCTCCAGAGAAGATTCACCTCTGACTCTTTCCATCAGGTCACAGCTCCGCAGCTCTCTGCGTTTACTGTCTGTACAGATCTGATCCGGCCTGTACTGATCCACTGACAGTGCCTGGGCAGGTTGTAGGTTTGATACACACATTCACTAAAGTTTCCTTATTTGTTCCTTATTCTCTCCAGAGGAGGTAATGTTGAAGGTTGTCGGGATAAGAGCTCCATACTGCTCAAGCAATTAAAGTTAAAATATCTCAGCTTTAAGTGAAAGGAACTGGCTGTTCAAAAGAGTTCTTAATGGAAGACATTAACATCTCCAACCCTCATATTTCCCTGAAACCTTGGTGAAAAGGAATAACAGTCATTTTCTCCTCTTTATGAGGTCTGGCTTTACATGCGTACGACATGAATGATTTATTTTATTTGCATGTATCCATAGGAGACATGATAAACCATTTGGCATGAATCCCAGTGTGCATTTATTGTACAGATAGATAGATAGATAGATAGATAGATAGATAGATAGATAGATAGATAGATAGATAGATAGATAGATAGATAGATAGATAGCCAGACAGTCAGCCAGCTCACGTTTGAAATGTTTATTACAGCAGTATAGCATATTTAGATTTTGGCGTCTAGGCTCCGACCTCATCATTCCTCACTGATATGTTTACATAGAGATATTGGGGAGTGATGCGCAAATACCTTAAACCCCCAGCCAGAGCCTACAGGTGGATGCTGGGTGGTGGGGGGGCTTACAGAGCAGCAGCAGCAATACAGATGCAGGGCAACAGCGGCATTGACAGAGCAGAGGGAGAGCTGGGAAACTGTGCAGTTTAAATTGACTGCCAGATTGGAAGGGTGCATTTGGTTTGTGATTATGGAATAAGGCATGTCATGTGTGTATAGCAGCGCAGCTCGAGTTGACTGCCTGAACTAGCTCTCAGGCTTCGCTCCATTTATGCTAAAAACTAAATATATATATATTAAAAAATGATACACAGAAGAATTTATGAACAAGTAAAAAAAAAAATAAAACTAGAAAATAGAAACTATAGACAGCAGTCTGTCATCCGATTAAAATTGTTGCACATAGAAACCTTGCACACATTTTATTAATCTATTTATTGCAAATGAGATGGAGTAATCAAAGTGATTTCAGCATGTATATTACAGAATGACATTAAATGTATCATTTTAACAACAATGAATCATTAGAAGTTTTTATTTCATAAATTTGAATTAGAGCTATTAGTTTGAACGTGGTTCAGTTTCAAAGTATAATTACCTGTTTTGAATTCTTTTTAAATTATGTATAATATAAACTGTAAACGCAACAGACAGTTTGAAGTAGTTTCCCTTGTGAGCCACTAGAGGGCACTTGACTTTTAGCATGACCCATAGCATGCCCAATGGACCTGTCCGTAAACTCAGCTAGCGGTGTTTTGTTGTTTGCTACTAAAATAGAGAACACTAGCAAGCAAAGCATGGAACAAAGCCACCCTGAGCGGTTTGTACAAAGCAGCTGTCTAACTCTACAACCACTGCAAATCTGCAGACACACTTGCTAATGTTAGTTTCCCACCGAAGTGAGGCAGCAGAGCGGAGGCACCACAGACAAGTGGAGCTTCTGGAGCCTTGCCAGAAACTCGTAAAAATGCCATCACCGAAAAGAGACCAAGATTTATATGTAAGACTGTGCCCATTGGTGTGGTAAGAGCAAATGTCTTATCCTATAGTATAGTTTTTACGTTGTGCCATACATTCGTACAATGTGTTTATAAATAATTTATTCAAATTCATTCAAAAGAATTGCATGACATTTGATAAAACGTTCTTTTTTCTTGTATCAAGTTACACATTTATGTTCAGTCAGACTTTTGAGCCTTTAATTAGTCCTCACGTCTGTGTAGTGAGGAGAACACATTTTTCAATAAGCTCTAGTGCTCTACCAAACAGCTGAGCAGAACCTTAAAGGGTTAAGGAATTTTAATACTTTAACTACAAAAACAGACCATTGTCCTGTTTGACAGGCAGGTGTGATGTGAGATTGATTATGTGTATTTCCCTCCTCTGGTTTCTCTACAGTTTTTTTCCCCCTCAGCTACAGGGCTTCATGTCTCAGTCTACAAGAATTAAATGTGGAAAGTAAAAGGACTGAATGTGAATGTGAATCAGCCAGCGGGTTCTATGTAGCTGCTTAGCTTTGTTTCCCTGTTGGATTCCTGGACTTCCTGTCTCTGTCTCGCTTGTGTTGATATTGTTGTGGCCTTACAATGACTGAGGCCTTCTGATTTATTCCACACAGTGTCACTGAGCCGCTGGGGGTTCAGTGCCAGGCTCAAGGGCATCTCAGCAGAGGTTGTTAACACTCCTGTTTACATCAGTGCCATACATGTTGCCTGCGGCTCAGCTTTGACTTCTCTCTTGCTCCTGTCACTTATTGTATTCATCTACAACTTTTTTATGATTTGTTCATTATAGTCCATCAAATTCAGATTCATTCGATTTAACAATTCTTACTTTAAAGCTGCAGCAGGTAACTTTTTTTTGTCATGATTAAAGGTATGGTTTCATCAGTGTATAATCAGCTGAATATGGGAATGGTTGTGTTTTCATTACCTTAGAATGAGCTGTTGTTATCTACAGAGAGACTCCATCTTACACACTGGCCCTTTAGAAGGCTATACAGTACAGTGTACAGTATTCAACACCCTGTATCCCAGCTGTCTCAAACTGCCGGCCCAGGGGCCATTTGGCCCTCCCTCCCCCTGTCCTGCGATATGATGTCAAAAATATAATAATCCAAACCACAAGATTAAAGAAACAAAAACATTTTATTTGTTTCATATCTATTTAAACACCATCTTTATATATAATTAAAATAAACATGATTCTGTTTTAAAAAATGTATTTTGTTTTAGTCAAATAAAGGTCTAAGGTGGCAGCAAATACGTGCCAAAGGTTGATAAGAAGAGAGCAGGTTTGGGCCTTTATTTGTTGTTTAGCTGTGAACAACAAAGCTGATATAACGTGTAGTTTGCTTTTTTTTTGTTAGTCATTATTTTAGAGTTATTCTTATCTTATCTTATCTTTTTTTCCTCTTCTCCTTTCTATTTCTCGGCTTATACACCACTTCCCCTTATTGCTCCTCAACACCAACATGTGCACTCTCATCACACACACACACACACACACACACACACACACACACACACACACACAAACACACACTTGAATCCTATACAATAGGCTGCACTGTACCCATATCAATATCCTTGTTTTTGTGTTGTTATTTTTTTGTCTAATCTCACAAAATAAAAAGAGCAAACAAACAACCCATTCCAAGTCAAAAATAAAAAACTAGTACTTCTACTTGAACATTGAAGTGGCCCCCCTGTTAGCTGGCATTTCCAGCAGTGGCCCCAACCCAGTTTGAGTTTGAGAACGCTCTGTCCTCTCAGTTTGGATACAGAAAAGCTCTTTAAAAAATGTTTTGAAAATGTGACCTAAAGATGTCTCTCTCTCTCACAAAGCAGCAGCCGTTGATGCAATAAATCACCAGCTGCAGGAGATTGACAACATTACTGAACAAGGTGTAAAACAGTTGACAATGATGTGATAATAATAATTGGACGTCATTACTGAAGTTAATGTAGTCTTCCTGTGTTCTGTGCCTGAGCAGAGTGATTAGTATGTCACTCCATTCATCCAAGACTGATTGTTCAGATTGCCATCTGATCACATTCCTGCTCCCCAAACGTTGAACCCTTTTGATTTTAATGACCTCCGTGACCTTTACGTTAGCACCGCCTCGAAGCCAGGACCAGACCTCAGCAAAAGGTCAGATTGCAATGTGAAAGCAAATGAAAGACTTGTATGGAAAAAAGGAAAGGGGAGAAAGATGATGAAATCTAACTTAGAACAAGAAAAGAAAGTGATGTTGTGGTCCCTGTGCTGTCGCTGTAAGCTGTGATGGATTGTGGTTTTCATTGAGAGAGACGACTGAATGGAAAGAGAAAGAAAGAGAAAGAGGGAAGGTGAAGAGGTAAAGTGCCTCTCTCTCGCATGCATTTTTCTTCTTTTTTCCTCCTCCTTCCTGCATTTTCCTCCATCTCCTCCCCCTCTCCTCTCTTCCATCCACCACTCTGCCCTTTCTTACTCTCTTATCTCCTCTCCATCATCTTTTTTCTTTCTTTCCCCCCACTTCTTCTCCTCCCTCTCTTTAACACACTTCTCCCTCCTCTCCATCCAGACTTCATTCTTTGTGTTCCCCATTCTCTCTCTCTCTCTCTATCTCTCTCTCTCTCTCTGCTCCAAGGTCGAGTTAATGAATGACAGAGCGTGTCATCAATTCCCCTTTCTCCCTTTACACCTGTCATACCCTCGCTCACTCAGGCTCACTCACGCTCACACACACACACACACACACACACACACACACACACACACACACACACACACACACAAACACCAAACACATTCCACACACACACACACACACACACACACACACACACACACACACACACACACACACACACAGACACATACACAGTGTATTGATTGGTGCAGCAGCAGCATTGTCGGTGTAGTAAAACCATTTTGGGTTTGGCTTTTATTTTGTAGCAGTGTGTCTTCATATCACTTTATTTTTTAAAAATTTATTAAAAAGACTTAAATAAGGTGGACTAACAGGATCATGAAGATTAAATGTATTGATTCGCTTATATTTATGTTAAATTGCATTTATGTTCTTACTCCTCACCTCTCAACATTCAAAAATGCAAATCAAACACTACGGTTTAGATAAATAAAATATAATTAACTTAGTGTAAAGTCAATGTATCAGCTTTCAAAATACAATGACTTCTGCATTAAAGACAATACCTACAATGTACATGTGACATCCTGTATGGAAGTCTATTGTTGTCAATATTAAAATGAAATAATGAAATGAAATTGAATTTTCCCTTTCTGTGCATATGGTATATGACCAAATTAATAATAATTCTAAATTGCAATTTTCATTTTCATTTAAAAAAAATGCGTGCTTACTGCCAAAATATAAATAAAAGTGAAACTTACTGTTGAATTTAAATGAAATCTATATTGAAAAATACATTTTAATGTACTCTGTGCCATAATAACAAAGAAATATGAAATAGCCTTTTCATTTCAACCTAAACTTGAAAATGAAGTTTTATTCTTGTCCTTATGAGTAGTAATGGTGTGTTTCATGAAAATTGCACACAATTTCAGGTTTATGAAATAGTTTAATTTTTGTACTGGCAGCCATAGACGTTCATAATCCTCAAACCCTTCCGATAAGTAAAAACCATGCTTTATATTTTTTTCACTGCCTCTTCTATTTTATATGTATTTCAGAGTCTCCCATTGGTCAGATGCGTCCACCTCACGGCAGCGCTACACCTCAGAAGAACAGTAATCTCCTGGTCATCATCGTGGTTTCCGTGGGGGCCGTCACAGTCGTTGTGGTTGTCATTGTGGCGCTCATCTGCACCCGACGCTCGTCCGCCCAGCAGAGGAAGTAAGACATTTCATTCATCTGTGTGATGGCAGTAAACAGCTGTCAGGGTAACAAGGCAGATGGTTAATGAGCAGTTTTTTTGTTTTTTATTTTTTTCTTAGAGTCTCTGATGTGTTCCTACCAACCGTCTGAATTTGTACCAAATAAAAAAAAAAACCTGTAACTGTCCTAGCTGGGATAGACCTGACTTTTAAGGCCACACACTAGTTTCAGTCATTGCTGTTTTGAAATTCACATTAGGTTCCAGTATTATTTCATAGTAGTTTGTTAATTTGGTTTTTATTTTATAATCCAGTTCATGTTCACATTTTGTTCATTGTTATATTCAAATTCCTGGTTGATTTAGCGACACCTGTGGTTACGCTGGTAACAGCACAACACTCCACCACCACCGATAAAAATCATTAAATAAGAATAAGTGATAAATTCACTTGCAAATAGGTATCGCACTAGAGCACCAGCATCTCAGACCGTTACAGTGCACACTATGGCCAACCAGACTCTATTCACAAAATCAGTATTTTTACCTTGCAGAAAATCGTAAAACAAACTTCAGACTGGACAGAAACAAACTAAGATTCACTAAAACCGTTTTGTTAGTTAGATGAGAAAATAGCTGTGAAGCAGGCGGCTATGGCTGCCCTGCAACGTTAGCCAATCCTTGGAGACGAATTTGCCCATCAGAATGCGCCCACTAAAGTTGTTGGTTTTGCCACTGACAGGCTCATATTGCTATTCTAATTGTCAACATTAATGAAAGGATCCCTATAGAGATAGACCTTTTGTTAAACCACAAACAGCTGTAATATCACTATCACTCTCCACCAGACTCCAGAGATGAAAACAATAATTTTACCTTGTGTATAATTGTTATATGATCTTAATGAACTTAATTCATAGTGGACAGAAACAAAATAAAACTCACTAAAAAGTCTTTGTCAGTCTTTCTACTGTATATGTATGTATATGTATATATGTATATATATGTATGTGTATATATGTATATATATATTTAAAATCAAGTCAAAATCATTTTGATCCAGTCTAATAGTCTAATTGATTGTATTTTAGAATGTAGTTCGAAAGGGTTCGGGTGCAGAGAGAGTGCAGCTGGTGAATTGACGGTCCTTATCTTCCTCGCCTCTCCAGCTACCGTAACCTCTCTGTTTCCATCTGTTTTCTTCTTGTTGTGCGTTGCAGCATACATGAGTGAGGCAGATGGTTTTATGATGGATGTACATGTCTGTTATGGTACAGATGAACACGTGTGTTAATGCTCTGCTGGTATTCGAAGGGTTGCCTAGTGACATGACACTAATAGCAGTCTACCCATGGGCCACTGTGTTGTCCGCTAACATCAGTCTTTTCTTATTTACATTTACATTCCTTCCTATCTGCCCAATGACTTCCTAACCTGTGTGTTTCTGCTTGTCTGTGCAGGAAGCGAGCGAGCCACAGCGCCAGTAAGAGAAAGGGCAGCCAGAAGGACCTGCGACCTCCTGACCTCTGGATCCACCACGAGGAGATGGAGATGAAGAACATGGAGAAAGCCCCCAGTGTCGCCCCGTCGGGACACGATTCACCCATCCAGTCCTGTCAGGACCTCCCCCAGGTCGCACACAGCCAATCAGAGAGCCAGATGGGCAGCAAGAGCAGCCACTCAGGTACAGGATGGATGCTGATTCCTTTGTTTATTTATCCACATATTTGTTATATGTGGTTGTATTTAAATGTATATATCATATAATGTACAACCATTTAAATAACCAATACGTAACTTGTAATTTGTATTAACTTTTATTTAACATGTAACTTTTTGCTGTTTTTATTCATTTAGATTTATTTCTTGGTGTCTTTTTATGATGGAGATTTGATATTAGAGTTCATCTCTGTGTTGCCTGGCAACATCACAATCAGTGTAAACACTGAAATTATAAATGCATTTGTGATTTGAGTGTTTTTACATCTGCATGCTAAATATTTCTTATTTATTATTTCTATGGTGCCCACTGATTAATTGATATCCGCTGTGAGTCTTGATTAAATAACCCATGCCACATATGAAGCCTTGATTCATCGCGAATAAAAACACTAATGCATTAAGCAACAACATTTTTCTCCCAGTGGAAAAGCTTAAAGAGGGCGGAGAACATGTTACTATCCCTGTTTTGATATGTGAGTGTTGTGATGTTCCAGGAGCTGACGGTGACGAGGCGTCCAGCAGCATCTCCACTCTGGAGCGCTCCCTGGCTGCAAGGAGGGGGACACGAGGCAAAATGATGATTCCTATGGACTCACAGCCGAGCAACACACGTAAGTAACACAAGTCCATTTGTGTGTTTGCATTTGATGGCTCTAAGGAGCTCTAACTGAATTTTTCTTTGCACAAAGGTTTACAGCAGCAAAATGACAAAGAGTCTACATCCAGGCTAGTGGCTCTGTGAGGCCCTACAGATAGTGTTTACTATGACCACCAACTCAGTTTAGAGTGTTGGCAAGCTAACACTTGCTAATTGACCACACTGCTAGCATGGCTAAAAATGTACCTTAAATGATGAGCTGCCTTGAGGTGGTGCTTAACATTAGGGATGTTTTTGATCATTTAGTGATGAAATAGTCTCAGATGTTTGTGAATTGGCTCCTTTTGTTATTGTTTTTTTCAGCCTGTGACTTGAGTGTTTGATGGTTGACAAAGTAGTAGTATTTTCAATTAATGTAGAGCTGACAGTGAGCAGGAACTCCTACGTTGCATGTGAAATAGCTGAAAATCACATGGGCCTTCATATTGTGATTTAATCCAAATTAAAATGTGTGTCATATGTGGCCAATTCTGTGAAACACTTGAAAACTTGAACGGCTGCTCTAGGCTACTGCAGAAAGTATCACGGCTAGTGTTTGGACCGCACCCAGGAGCAGACACTCAGACAGGATGGGCAGTTTAATGGAGCTTTATTACGCACGCACGCACACACACACAGGGAGGGACAAGGGGCGGCCACAGCAGGGACAGGCAGGTGAAATGGCAAAAGAGACTGGAATCACAGAGGCACAGGTGAGCTGACTCAGGAAAGTGCACTGCACAAGAGGGACCCTGGAGCACAGGAGAGAAAAGGTTAACTGAGGAGCAGGCGCAGGAAAATCACAAGTAGACTTGTAGTAGTAAGCTAAGCACTGAAAGGAACCACGAAAGTTACCACTAAGTTGGCTGGCGACGAATGAAAGGATGACCGGGGTTCCTGAAGGCTGGGACTGATGAATGGATTGAGAGCAGGTGAGGCAGCGCACAGGTGAGGTGAGTGGAGGCCGCACCCTCAGACACACACAGGAGGTGGAGCAAAGGGAGCAGGAGGGGAGCAGAGCCATGACAGAAACATAGTGTTGCAATGTGGCAGACTCTGTAGATGAGGACCTACTGCCTGTGTTGACGGCTCATTTTGAGGTAGCGAAAATAATAGATCCTCCTAAATGTTACACACTGGACCTTTAACAAGCCCACAGATCATCAATAAATACCTGCACAGGTTCCTTAATCCAGGACCAGACCCAGCATCAACTGAATACATTTTACACCATGCTCAACATGATGGGTTGTGGTTCTCTCTATTGGTGCACGGGATGTCACATGACATGTCTGCGGCAGTGGGGTGTCTTAGGGTGACAGTGGTTCATCTCCCTCTTCCTCTCTGTGTTTCTGCGGGTGGGTGAGATGTAAAAAAGTCTTTCATGCAAAGACAGAAGTGAAGTCGAGGGAGGAGAGAACACACAGACACACACACACACACACACACACACACACACAGAATTACACACTGGCACACACTTTCTCACACTGATAATTAGCCTTTATGTTCCCTTAGACTGACTCAGAGGACAGAGGGGATAGGAAGAAGATCTGAGGACGAGCGAATGGGGAGAGGAGGATGAGCATGGGAAAGAGAAAAATAGGGAGGGAGAAAGCGATAGATAGAGAACATATGTGAGAGAGAGAGGGAGAACAGAAGTGTTGCTCTGAACCCTCCTTTAGTGTCAGTTTACAATGCGACAATGGCTGAATGGTTCCAGATGGAGGAGTGTCTGAAACTTGTGTTTTCAAGCAGTGACTCTGATGATGTTCAGTCACATTTGAGCTTTTAAATCAGACAGAAATGAACATGAATTCATTTCAATATCTGTCCACCTCAGTTGTGTTTGTACTGTGCTTTTTGTTTGTCATTCACATTTTCTGTTTGGAGTATTGATCAATTACATTTAATGTTCTGTAATCACATAGAAAAAATGAAACAACAGTTAAGTGCTAGTTGGCTGTAAAGTAATATTTTTTCACATAGAAATGTTTTCTGGTCTGACGCCTCTGTCAGCAGGGGACATCATTTGTCTGTGCCTTCTAAAAATGCTACAAATCACATTTGATAAATAAATCTGTTTTGTGATATGACAATACTATGGTTAAGGTTTGCTTAACAATTATTTAATCAATTCAAATGTAAAATGTGTGATTATGATAGACACCCCATTTTAAAATGTGACATTACAGAGATAGACACCTTGATTCTTTTCAGTTCACTGGATCCACCAACAGTTTCTTTGAATTTCCCAAAAATGTACTATAACTCACATATATCGATATCAGACTATACAATTACTAGAGGATTCATATTGTCCAGTGTTCATTTATCTTCTCAATAACAGCTGAAATGCCTTCCTCAAAATTCAAAAGAAAACTGACCAGAAAAACTGGCTTCACTTCACTCTGATTATCTGCTGTGGCCTGCTGGGAAAATGCTGTTCTTTAAAGGAACTCTACAGCCTCTTTTCCATTTTGGCTGTAGTTGTATTTAGACCCTTGCTGTGTCTTACAGCAACAATCAAACTTCACTGCTGTTTTGGCTGATGAGATTACGCAGTAGTGTTCATTCCTGGTCCCGAGCAGCCACAACAGCACATATTTTCTCTAAGTCTGGGATTTTGAGTCGATCAGGAGTTGGTGCCTTTTAGCTCTTGACTGGCTCACACCTGAACCAGCTAATTAGCTGTTGGTGAAGGGAGCAGGGAAAAATGGAAAATAAGCAAGACTCTGGGTCTCCAACATCAGAAGTGAGCACCACTGAAGCCTATTTGAAAATAGGCTTTTTGTTCATTCTATCACACTCCTGTCCAACTTTGATCTGTCATCTCCATAACATCTTTTTCTCATCCGTCACAACACTTCAGTCAGTGATGGTTTCAGCTGTCTACTCATTTTGTCTTTATACCAAAATAAGAGCACAGTGTTACTGAAGAGGTCTTCATCCAGGATTAACAGATACTCTAACTGTTCAAAGAACCTAATTAGCTGGATGAGAATAAAAATGATTATTTTAGCTTCATAACAACATGTTTGCTTGAATTAGTTATAAGGCTGCTCAATTAATCGAAATTTGATCATGATTACGATTTTGGGGCCAAACGATCTCAAAACTAATAAAATCGGAGGGAAACGAGTTTCTTTTCATTTTCTGTTGTGCAACGTTGTATAGAAAAAAGCTGTGAATTGGGACACAGCCACAGTCTGCGTATTTCGCTCATGTGTATTTCAGTCAGTCACGTTGTTTTCGTTGGAACAGGTAACGCATAACAGTAACAGGTAATCAGTGTTTCCTCTAGGATTTTTTTTAGCAGTGGGGGCAGGCCCGTCCAAACACATTAACATTAACAAACACAATTTAACAGCAGCGGCCGCCGCTCCAAAATCAACATAGAGGTAACACTGGGTAATTTCAAATGTTGTAGCAGTGCACTAAAATTTGACAACACAAATTGTTTTTCTATGGCTTATCTTTTGTGTGTTATTTTATTTTATTTAATTTAACTTTTTGTAGAGATTGCAAGAGTGCACTATGACTGTCAATGTAAAAAAGGAGACTTACAAATGTTTATGGGGAAAGGAAAGTGTAACTGAGGACTTCCTTGCAAAGTGTTTTGGACAAATGTCCAATAAATGCAGCATGTTTCTGAAGTTTAAAAAAATAATCGTTTGAATAATCGTGATTTCAATTTTGACCCAAATAATCGTGATTATGATTTTTTCCATAATCGAGCAGCCCTAATTAGTTAAACCATATATGAAGAACAGAGCCCAGCGTGGTGGTTGTAGCTGTCTGTAAAATGATCCACCTGTTCAATTCATCAACGGACTGATGTAGAACATCTGCAGTAACAGCAGTGACACCATATCACATCCATGAACCAGTTTCTAGTCCGTGTGGAAGAACTAATTACTGCCTTCTCTCTCTGTGGAGTGTGTGTGTTCCGTCACATCACTCGGAGCAGAAAGTTTCATACTGTAATTACCCTGCTCTCAGTCTTAAAGGATTTGTGTCCTTCTTTCTTTCCCTTTCTTAAATTATTGTCGTCTTGTTGTTGTTTACTGCAGTTGTAACAAACTGAAGCTGCTGCACCCAACAGTAACAATCAGGTTACAACCCTGTCTGGTTTTTTTTTCTGCAGAGTGAGTCAGCGGGTGGCTGAAATTTTTTTTCTAGCATGTGACAAGCACTCCTGTGTGTTTTCATAAATGTGTGTGTGTGTGATATGTGGGTCACAGTAAACAGGAAAACCCTTCAGGCCTCCTCTGCCAACACACAGACCCGTCCTCCACACTGATCTATTTATTCTGTCGTTCTATCCCTTTGGATTTCTGTCATGTTTATACTTCACAACTTTTATTTTACTTCATCTTTTTGTCAAAGTTCAGTCTCGGGGACTATTTCTTTCAGTCTCCTCTGTTTCTTCATTCTTCTACCTGAGCCATGGCTTTGTTGCTTTCAGAATTATTTTTCTTTTTTAGTGGCTAAAGCCATTTCTGTTGCACTGATAAATACAGCAAAATGGGCAGTACAATAATCATACATTATACCTACAATTGCTTGTGGACACCAAATGCAATAAACTATACAGATATAACAAAAAGAATGTACTCCTCTTCCTGACAAAAGAAATTTGTCATTGCAGGGAATTTACAAGAGAGAGCATTGTTTAAAAAGGTTGTAAAATTAGAATCATTTTGTACATTGTCTAAAAATGATGGTGATGATGATGCCACAGGCAATGTCATTAAAAGAGAAGTAGGATTTAGTGGCATTGGCACTTGAAGGTGTTTCTTTTAAGGGCAGAATGACTAGGATTTGGTTGGTGGCTTTTGGAAACACTATTCAAAGTTGGTGAGAGAGAGCAGTGGTGGTCAAGTGAGATAGAGAGTGAATGAAGCAATGAATCCGACAAATTAAAGGTTCTGAAGTTTCAAGTCAGTTACGGTCTAAAGCATAAACACGGCC